ATTCAGCGATCGGCGCCATGGAGATATTTGGGATGGACCTTAACCGAGCAGACTATTAGGCCTCAGAAGCTGGAACTCACTGCTCATATAGGGACACTGAATGATGCACAGAAGCTGCTTGGGGAATTACAATGGCTAAAACCGATAGTCGGGATCCCCAATCAGCTATTGGAGCAGTTACGCCCCTTATTGAAGGGCACAGACCCTGCTGCACCGGTTGCCTTGACAGCTCAACAACGAGATGCGCTGCAAGGTATAATTGACTGTATAAGTTCTGGACAGGTACAGTGGTGGTCCCTTGATTTACCTGTTGATATTACTGTGTGGAACAGCTCTGCACATGTCTTAGGTGCCCTGTCTCAGCTTGAAAAGAAAACGGGGGAGCTCAGGGTATTGGAGTGGCTCTCTCCACTGCTACAGCAACAGAGAACTTTGAGACTGAAAATTGAAATGATTGCATCCCTCATAAAGAAAGGACGTCTTAGAGCAATCCAAGTTACAGGAGCAGAGCTTTCCACAATACGATTGCCCATCAAAAAGGACACGCTTGACTGGTATTTGGTGAACTCTGGGGAGCTCCAGGAAGCCCTTTTAGGAGCTGGAGCTGTCGTGGAGACTGGGAAACTGCATCCTAGTCCCCTCCAGTGGATGACAGAATGGAACTGGATAACAAAGCCTATTCGGAGTCTATCACCATTAAGCGGGGCTATCACGGCCTTTACGGATGCTGGTAAAAAGTCCAGGAGAGCAGCCGTGACACGGAAACCGCAAGGACAGTGGCGACAGCATTTGTTGGATGCAGATGCCAGGGACAGTCTACCGACATTGGAACTTTTAGCTGTAGTATGGGCAATGATGAATTTAAAAGGTCCTTTGAATATTGTGACTGACTCCCTTTATGTAGCAGGAGTAGCTGCCAGGGTACTATACTGGGGGAGGGGATATCTTTGTGTTTCCTCTCCAACAGGACCCTTGTGGATCCCCGCGAAGTGGACTCGAGCTGATGTTCAGGACCGTTGCGGCCTTGTCACCGGAGGACAAAGAGAGGGTGCACAACAAACTGACGCTGATATTGCGGCCCTATTTGCAACGCCTCCAGCCCTACTCTAACGACGCGCGATGTGCCTGTGTTCATCTTCCTGACGATTGGATCGAGTGGTGTCAGGACCTTACGGTAGAAGTAAAAGCCCCTCAATCACAGCCATGCTTGGACTGTGGGGACAATAAATGCGCTGCATGGATCGCGCTAGACTGTGGAGGCTGTAATAAGGTGTTTTGGTTGGAGCAATCGATAGTTGCACCAAAACAGCACGTAGATAGCTGATAACTAATTAGCCAATGGTGAGCTGGGATTTTGCACTATGCATGAGCTAATTAAAAGGTGTATAATAATTGGCGATTCGGGAATAAAGACGAGACTTGTCGATCATCATCTGGTGAACGAGTCTTCCTTCTCCGTCAGGATAATGGGGGAATTCATGCATAGAGTTCCATGGGAAGGGGACTGGGGTGAGATCTAACCACGGAATTCCCATTGGAACGGGATGAGAGTGAGATCTACCCATGAAACTCCCACTGGAATGGGATGAGAGTGAGATCTGCTCATGGAATTCCATGGGAATAGAATGGGGGTGAGCTCTGCCCACGGAATTCCATGGGAATAGGATGGGGGTGAGATCTGCCCATGGAATTCCATGGGAATGGGATGGGGGTGAAATCTGACTATGGAATTCCATGGGAATGGGATGAGAGTGAGCTCTACCCATGGAATTCCCACTGGAATGGGATGAGAGTGAGATGTACCCATGTAATTCCCACTGGAATGGGATGGGGGCGAGATCTACCCATGGAATTCCCACAGGAGTTACTGTGTTCCCAAATCCTCCATTCCCAAATCCCAAATTCCCAGAGGAATTCTGCTCCCACCTTTGCGCTCCAGCTCCTTCTGCCCATATCTGACGTATTTCCGGAGCCATTCCGGGCATTCGTGCTTCAGGTAATTTGTCCAACCCTCAGCCACGGTCCCTTCCTGTTCCAAGTGTCTCCTGGTGATCTCAGCAGCGCTGTCGGCTGCCACGAATCTCCCGGATTCCAGGTCAAAGGAGATGAAATCCCGCCTGTCGTAGCCATCCCGATAGGATCCACGGACGCTCCCGTCGGACAGGAGGTCACAGCCAGAAAGCCACTGTAGAGTGTGGAGACCTGGGGGGATTGCACCCACAGAGACCCATGGAATTGTGTCCCAGCCCCACAGAGCTCCATTCCAGCCCCATGGAAGCCCGAAGTCTGATGCAGGCCCACAGAGCCTCATTCCAGCCCCTTGGAGCCCTGTGGATCCACATCCCAACCCCAGGGATCCCAACCCAGCCCCACAGATCCATATCCCAGCCTGTGGATCACAAGATATTCCATCCCAGCCTAATGGATTCCTGTTTCAGCCCCTCAAAGCCCTGTAAATCCACTTTGGAGACATACAGATCCCACCCCAGCCCCACAGTTCCCATTCCAGCCTCATAAATCCCCATCTCAGCCGTACAGTTCTTATCCCAGCCCCATGGATCCACATCCCCGCCCTGAACATCCCATTCCAGCCCCACAGACTGAATCCCAGCCCTGCACATCCCATCCCAGCCCCACGGATCCAATCCCATCCCAGCCCCATGGATCCACATCCAAACCTGTGGATCACAGAATATCCCATCCCAGCTTAACAGATCCCCATTTCAGCCCCTTGGAGCACTGTGAATCCACTTTGGAGATGTATACATCCCAACCCAGCCCCATAGATCCCATCCCAGCCCCACAGATCCCATTCCAGCCCCATGGATCCACATCCCAAACCATGGATCAAAAAATAACACATCCCAGCCTAATGGATCCCTGTTTCAGCACCTTGGAGCACTGTGAATGCACATCTGACACCTACAGATCTCATCCCAGCCCCATGGATCCACATCCCAACCCCGCAGATCCTATCCCAGCCCCCTGGATCAAAAGCTATCCCATCCCAGCTTAACAGATCCCCATTTCAGCCCCTTGGAACCCTGTCAGTCCACACCTGAGACCTAAAGATCCCATCCCAGCCCCATGGATCCTCACCCCAGCCCCACAGATCCTATTCCAGCCATACAGATGCCATTCCAGCCCCATGGATCCACATCCCAGCCCTGCACATCACATTCCAGCCCCACAGATCCCATCCCAGCCCCATGGATCCACATCCAAACCTGTGGATCGCAGATTATCCCATCCCAGCTTAACAGCTCCCCATTTCGGCCCCTTGGAGCACTGTGAATCCACTTTGGAGACCTATACATCCCATTCCAGCCCCACAGATCCACATCACAACCCCATGGATCCCAACCTGTCCACACAGATCCCATCCCAGCCCCATGGATCACAAGCTATTCCATCCCAGCCTAATGGATCCCTGTTCCAGCCCCTTGGAGCCCTGTGAATGCACACCTGAGACCTACAGATCCCATCCCAGCCCCATGGATCCTCACCCCAGCCCCACAGATCTTATTCCAGTCTTACAGATGCCATTCCAGCCCCACAGATCCCCATCTTAGCCCTACAGTTCCTACCCCAGCCTCACAGATCCCATCCCAGCCCCATGGATCCACATCCAAACCTGTGGATCACAGAATATCCCACCGCAGCCTAACAGCCTATTTCAGCCCCTTGGAGCACTGTGAATGGAAGGGCGGGATGGCCGGGAATGGGGGTGCAGGGGGTCCCAGAGCACTGACGGGGTGCAGGGGGATCCCAGTCCCGGATAGAGGATTCAGGGAGGTCCCAGTGCCCCAAAATGGGGGTTCAGGGTGTCCCCATGCCGGGGAATGCGGGTTCAGGGGGAGTTTCCCTCCCGGAATTCGGGGTTCAAGGGGGTCCCGGTGGCCGGGAATGGCGGCTCCGGGGGCGCCGGTGACCAGAAATGGGGGTTCAGGGGGGTCCCGGTGCCAGATGAGGGGGTACAGGGGAGTCTCGATCCTGGGGAAGGGATTAAGGGGGGGTCACAGGACCCAAAGTGGGGGTTCAGGGGAGTTCCTCTGCCCGTGAATGAAGGTTTAGGCGTTTCCCGGTGAGCAGAAATGGGGGTTCAGGGGGGTGGTGGTGCCAGATAAGGCGGTACAGGGGGGTGTCGATGCTGGGGAAGGGATTGAGAGGGGTCACAGGACCCAAAATGGGCATTCAGGGGGAGTTTCCTTCCCGGAATTCGGGGTTCGGGGGGTCCCTGTGCCACATAAGGGGGTGGACCAGCTGGCCCATGCTGGTGTCGTACTGGGATCATAATGGCATTGATGGGGTTACACTTGGAGTGCCTGGCACAGTACTGGGAGTGTCTGGGAGCTACTGGGATCATAGTGGAGGTGACTGGCATCAAACCAGACTCACACTGGGAGTGTTTGGGAGTTACTGGGATTGTACTGGAGGTGACTGGACTTATACTGGGAGCAACTGGGACCACAGCAGGGGCAAATGGCATCGTGTAAGGTGTGGCTGGGCTCATACTGGAAGTGATTGGGGCCACAATGGACTCTTACAGAGAGGGACGAGAGGGAAGGAACCGTACAGGGGATGACTGGGAGCCACTGGGACCATGTCGGGGGCAGCTGGATCCTACCGGGAGTGATTTGGAGCATACTGGGAGTGACCGGGATCATCCAGGGGGTGACCGAGAACCACCGGAGGGGCGGCGGCGGAGCTCGGAGGCGGCCCCGGCGCAGGTGGGAGCCGCGCTGGGCTGTGCGGGGGCTCGGGGCTGGCTGCGGGCCTCGGGGGCGGCAGGGGGCTGGGGCGGGTGGCTTGTGCCGTGCCCGGCCCGTGTTGGCCCTGGGCTGAGGGCGCTGCGGGAGCGGCTGCCCGCGGTCTCCTTGCCGCCGCTGCCTCGGCAGGAGCCGCTGCCGGAGCAGCGCTGGCTCGGCGCGCTTGCTGTGGCTCGGACAGAGGTGGCTGCCCCGTGGCCGGGGCTGTGCGGGCAATTTCCGTGGCCGGAGGTTTCTGTGGCCCGAGGAGAGCGAGGAGTCCTGGAAAAGTGACTTTCTTGCTGGGCAGAGGCACAGGCCGTGGGGCATTGGCCAGGCGCTCTCTGCCATTGCTGTAGTACGCAGCCTCCTTTGGATCCTCATTTTCCCGGCCGCTTCTCCCTCTGCCTTTGCCCACTGGCTGAGGTGCTTGGAAGGTTCCGACTTCCTGATGCACCAGCTGCATGTCCTCGTTCATGTGCACCCCCACTTTTGTATAACAGCTGATATTTTCATGGCTCTGTTAAGTGTTTGTTCTTCTCCTGGAAGTTGAGGAATTCAGCGGGACTTTGTGTGAGCAGCAGTCCATGAATTAAAAAATGTTAATCAGTAACATTTTTTGAAACTGATAGTTTCTCCCTTCCATATCTACAAGTCCCTGACCCCATCTCCAGGCAGATTCACTCAGTGATTTTTTTTTTTTTTTTTTTTTTGTTTTTGTTTTGCCTTACTGGGTTTTCTTTGGTTTTGGGATTATTCTCGGTGCCCTCATTCCCTGTCCTTTTGTAGCCGTTTCTGGATCAGGAGGCCTGGCTGCCACCTGCATCCCCTCGCTCAGCTGCTGAATGAGCTGCACTCTCAAGGTGTTCAGCGTGGTAAAAAGATGGGAATTGCTGTAGCATGTAAGATGAGAAACAGCATTCGTTTAACCCATGGTCTGCCATGGAACCACGAAACTGTGTCCCATTCCCATCCTTTCCACCTTTGGACTGGTACATGAGCTGCTTTCTTTTTTCCATTTTTATCTGTTTCTCCACTTTTCCTTTGTCCTCTATTTGCCTGTACCAGGTTGAGTTATTTAGTTTTCCACAAACTCCTCCTTTTTCTGCAAACAGATGATCTGATTCCATCCCATAGTGAAGTGTTGTGTTCCTCATTTCAGTGGATTGGTCAGCAGGAAGGTCAGGAGCTGGATCTGCCTGGTTGGTTATTATTTTGAGGACAGCTTGTAATCTAATGATGCCATTGAAATGATAAATGGGTTCTGTGACTCCTGATGTGAATTGGTTGGGGTTCCCAGGGGCTGGTCCATGGTGTTGTAGGATTTGTTGTGGTGGCCGTTCATCTTTTGCCTATTTCCGGGCGCTCCCTCAGGAGCCAGGGCTGAATCAATTGGCTTATTTTCTCTAGTTTGAACATCAAATACTTGGATTCCAAACTGATTTTGCTGAACTTGTGGTGGCAAGAAGACCCCAGTGTTCTAATACATCCTATACAGCATAGACAGTGACAGCTCCTGTTGCAGTGGGCAGAGGGATGATTCCTGCCCACTTATTTTTGTGAAGTTTTCACAACTTTCTCCATTTGCTGTTTCCCTTTGCAGCTGAACCCATTTGTGTTGCAGAGTCAGATATCCTCCCCATGGGCTCTGCCTTGAGCTGTGCAAATTCCAGTGGAAGCAGGCAGAGCTTGGGGTGAGGGACAGAGGGAATCAGCCCAATTCCTGCCCCAGGCAAGAGACCCGGGTCCATTGTCCACACTTTGCCCCAGCAATGTTAATTTGCATTTCTAAAGCTCCTCTCCTGGCTGTCTGGAACTAAGCTTCTCTTTCAGGGCATAATCTGGTGATTCCCGCATTCCTTCCCCCCCATCTCCCATTGCTTTTTTTTTAGTACCATTTTTTTTTCCATTTTTTCCTAACACTATTCTGTTAACTGTTTCAGAGTTAAAGGGTCGCCTTTAAACCTCTTCTAGTTTTTAAAAATGCAACTTCAAGTTGACCATTGAGAAACCCAGATCAAAATTCTGCTATCACTAAAGACACACACACACATACCTAAAGAGCCTCTGGTTCTCTTAAGAAAAAAAAATTGATTCTGACACCCTGGCCCAAACCTTATTGACCCTATAAATGTAGGATTATTTAGAAAAAATAAAGTCTTAATATTGTAATCTTGTCACCGCAACTCTCCAGCATTTCTAGTGTTAGAGACTCAAGGCATTACTTGATTCTGGCCAGGATGTGCAACAGAAATCATTTCATCCACACACAGCCCAGGTGTGCAGAGAAAATCATTCCATGACACACAGCTTTTGCTAGTTTTTCCTTGTTTAACCCGTGGTCTGCCTGGGAACCACGAAGCTGTGTCCCATTCCCATCCTTTCCACCTTTGGACTGGTACATGAGCTGCTTTCTTTTTTCCATTTTTATCTGTTTCTCCACTTTTCCTTTGTCCTCTATTTGCCTGTACCAGGTTGAGTTATTTAGTTTTCCACAAACTCCTCCTTTTTCTGCAAACAGATGATCTGATTCCATCCCATAGTGAAGTGTTGTGTTCCTCATTTCAGTGGATTGGTCAGCAGGAAGGTCAGGAGCTGGATCTGTCTGGTTGGTTATTATTTTGAGGACAGCTTGTAATCTAATGATGCCATTGAAATGATAAATGGGTTCTGTGACTCCTGATGTGAATTGGTTGGGGTTCCCAGGGGCTGGTCCATGGTGTTGTAGGATTTGTTGTGGTGGCCGTTCATCTTTTGCCTATTTCCGGGCGCTCCCTCAGGAGCCAGGGCTGAATCAATTGGCTTATTTTCTCTAGTTTGAACATCAAATACTTGGATTCCAAACTGATTTTGCTGAACTTGTGGTGGCAAGAAGACCCCAGTGTTCTAATACATCCTATACAGCATAGACAGTGACAGCTCCTGTTGCAGTGGGCAGAGGGATGATTCCTGCCCACTTATTTTTGTGAAGTTTTCACAACTTTCTCCATTTGCTGTTTCCCTTTGCAGCTGAACCCATTTGTGTTGCAGAGTCAGATATCCTCCCCATGGGCTCTGCCTTGAGCTGTGCAAATTCCAGTGGAAGCAGGCAGAGCTTGGGGTGAGGGACAGAGGGAATCAGCCCAATTCCTGCCCCAGGCAAGAGACCCGGGTCCATTGTCCACACTTTGCCCCAGCAATGTTAATTTGCATTTCTAAAGCTCCTCTCCTGGCTGTCTGGAACTAAGCTTCTCTTTGAGGGCATAATCTGGTGATTCCCACGTTCCTTCCCCCCCATCTCCCATTGCTTTTTTTTTTGTTACCTTTATTTTATTCTGTTAACTGTTTATGAGTTAAAGGGTCGCCTTTAAACCTCTTCTAGTTTTTTAAAATGCAGCTTCAAGTTGAGCATCGAGAAACCCAGATCAAAATTGTGCTATCACTAAAGACACGCACACATACCTAAAGAGCCTCTGGTTCTCTTAAGAAAAAAAAAAAAGATTCTGACACCCCTGGCTCAAACATTATTGACCCTATAAATGTAGGATTATTTAGAAAAAATAAAGTCTTAATATTGTAATCTTGTCACCGCAACTCTCCAGCATTTCTAGTATTAGAGACTCAAGGCATTATGTGATTCTGGCCAGGATGTGCACCAGAAATCATTTCATCCACACACAGCCCAGGTGTGCAGAGATAATCATTCCATGACACACAGCTTTTGCTAGTTTTTCCCTAAACTTTATACCATTCAAACCCCATAAAAATGCACTGGTTTAACGTTCATTGCTTCCAAGTTGTGTAGTTTGTAGTATCTGGTTTCCTGCTGGACCCAGATTTCTTTGCCTCTGCTGTTCATTAGGTCCACACTCGTGGATTTCCTTCTCAGCCTTTTCCAGAGCAGGTGTCTCCAGCTCTGCCAGGGGCAGTGTCTGGGGTAGCTGTTGGTTGCTGTTTGCTGCTGGGCATTGATGTTTTGTTGCTGGTCGTTATCTCTGTGGGTAACTGCTCCTCCATTTAGAGGCTCTTTTGGTTGTCAAAGTTTTAACTTGATGCCAGGCTTGAACAGCAAGAGATCCTTGTGCCATCAGTTTTTGGGCCTCAGTTCCCATGAAAGCTGTGTCTGCACAATTCTAAGACAATGAGGCCACTCGTTGGGTTAACGATTTTTGCCCAATAATTCCTTAGGCATGGCCCTGTTGAACCTATCCACCTATCATTGAAATTCTTTTTCCTTGTCTAGGAGGGCCAGGTCAGGAGCCTCAGTTATTCTGCTTTTTAACACTTGAAAATTCTGTGTTTCCTCCTGGTGTCCATCCATCCAGTGTTCTTGACTGCGGTGTTTGGAGAGATGCCTCTGTTGTAGCCTTGCTGCAGCCCCACCCTCAGGCAGCGCTCAGCTAATCAGAGCGTGTGGGTGTTCATCCCTGGCGTTGGGCCCCTCAGGGGCTTCCTGGATGGGGGAAACCCTCCTGAGACAGTTCTGTGCTTTTGTGGGTTAAATGTGGGTGCTTTGGATTTTTGTGGGGGCTAAATCTTTATATTTTGGAGGGGGTTTTTATTGAATCCTGATGCTGAATGATGTTTGTGGTATTTTTGATCTGTGTCTTGATGTTTAGAGGATTTTTGAACTCAGTCTTAGTATTTTGGTGATTCTTACAGACACAAGATGCCCAAGGACTTCATGAGATAAAGTGCGGCAAGGAGTCCGAGGTGCTCTCATCTCATATTTTCACCCCAATCAGGATTTGTCATTCCCATGGTGTGTCTGGATGGAGGAAGAAAAGCCCTGGAGATTCCGCACGAGGAGGGGCTGCAAACCCAGCCCAGGGAGCTGCGGGGAGCAAAGAGCCCCCCTGAGCCAGGAAGGTGGCCGGAGATCCAGGCAGAGCTCAGAGCTGGTGGAGAAGCCTCATGGCAGGGAGAAGCCCCACGAGTGCTTGGAATGTGGGAAGGGTTTCAGCCGGCACTTTGACCTGATCCAGCACCAGGTGGTCCACACTGGGGAACGGCCCTACGAGTGTGAGGAGTGTGGGAAGAGCTTCAGCCACAGCTCCAGCCTGATCCGGCACCAGAGGTTCCACACTGGGGACCGACCCTTTAAATGTGGGGAGTGTGGGAAGAGCTTCAGCCAGAGCTCCAGTCTGACTCAACACCAGAGGATCCACACTGGGGAAAAGCCCTTTGAGTGTGGGGAATGTGGGAAGAGCTTCAGCTACAAGCAGAACCTGATGCAACACCAGGTGATCCACACTGGGGAAAAGCCCTATGAATGTGGTAAATGTGGGAAGAGCTTCAGGTGTAGCTCTGACCTGAGGAAACATGAGAGGATCCACACTGGGGAAAAGCCCTATGAGTGTGGGGAGTGTGGGAAGAGCTTCAGCTTGAAGTGCCACCTGACGGAACACCAGAAGATCCACTCTGGGGAAAAGCCCTACAAGTGTGGAGAGTGTGGGAAGAGCTTCAGAGAAAGCACGACCCTGATTCGGCACCAGGTGATCCACACAAGGGAACGGCCCTACACCTGCTTGGAATGTGGGAAGAGCTATGGGTGGCACTCCGACCTCAGAAAACACCAGCGCATCCACACTGGGGAGAAACCCTACGAGTGTCCCCAGTGTGGGAAGAGGTTTCAAAGGAGCTGCGATCTCCTCGTACATGAGCGGAGTCACACAGAGGAGAGGCCCTTCCGCTGCCCCGACTGTGGGAAGGGCTTCAAGCACAACTCCAATGCATATGCTCCCATCCTGGAGAATAATTTTTGAGACATTGTAAAAACAAGAGCAGCCTCAGGCTGTGTCCTCTGTGGATACCGCGGGCCCCCACCCTGCTCTGACTCTCCCTGCCCGCTTGAAACAGGTGCCTCTAAAACTGAAGAGCAGCCACAGCCATCTGCCCAGACAAAGGAGGGGAAGGCATCCTGTCCTGCCGTTGTTAGCGGCCTGTATTGCTGACCATGGCTCTAGCAGTGAGGAGGAGGGGGATGCCTTCAATCCAGGACCAATAGATCCAGATGCTGAGCCTGGCCTCTTCCCTCCTGACCCTCATGAAAACTGGGTGTGATTACAGAAAAAGGGTCTTAAGGAGGCGGATTTTGATATCACAGTGAAAATAGTCGCGCCAGTCAGACTTCACAGCGCCAGGGGAAACAACCCGCAGTGGGAAACTCTTGCTTATTGGAAATTAAGGAACTACACTGCACGGCTATGGAACAAAGGCTGGGGTCTCCCTATTTTGCTAATCTTTTACAGTCTACATTGTCAACTCATCTTATGACTCCTCATGATTTAAAGGGATTGGTGAGCCCATTATTAACCCCCACTCAGTATGCCATTTTTGATGCTTGTTGCAAGCCACTAGCCTGTTGGTGGTGGAGCAAGAAGCAGCAATTCTGCAACCTTCCAGAAGTGTCTCCAGTAATGGAGCCGCTCGGTGGCACAAGCACACACACACAATCACTCCAGCACACCCTTCCGGTAGCTCTTGTAGAATTACCCACAACAAAGAAGTGGGAAGGGTCTTTGTGTGGAGTTCCAAGGAGGTTTGTTGCAGCCACACATGAAGGGGTCTGGCGACATTGACAAAAGCACATTGGAGGGTCCAGGTTTAGAGGGGACAAGGAGGCAGAGCAGAGCATCAGGGCCGGTGGGCTGAGGGCTCAGGGTGGTACAGGGGGAACAAGGGGCGGCAACCAACAGGGTAAAGGCAGCATAAAAGCACCCATAATCAGTTATTTAAAATGGATGCAAGCCATCCTTTGTGACCCCAATTTCCAAAGAGGTCATGGTACGAGTCTGGGGCCATTTGAGCTTTAAGTTCTTTTACTTGATCTTGGATCTTCTGGATTTTGGCATGGATGGCCTTGCTGTGGGAGGATAGGTTGAGGCAGCACAGCCTGTTGAAGTTTTCTTTGGGCTGTGCCACCATCCATGCGTCCATGGTTGGTGGTGACGGGGGCATCCAGAAGACCAGGACGACTGAGGCTAGGTAGGTGGTGGCTCTCATTGTGGTGGATAGTGTCAGGGTAGGTGCTTTCTGTAAGGTTTAAAAGAGTTGTTTTAAAAATTGTCACATTTAGGGTGGGCAAGGCTGTTGCCTTCCCTTCTCTTCCTCTAGCCCCCTTCTTTATTTAATAAGAGAATCAGGAAAGGAGAATAGTAATAAGGTAAAATAAAGTGTGTGGCTGTGGGGAAAATTAAAATAGAGAAGGAGGGATGGTAAATGTTGTAACTGGGAACAGGAAGGTATGTGGAAGGATGTTAGTAGGATGTTAGTGAGTGGGATGTTAGAAGAGTGTTAGTAAGGGGAGGGGGTGTCATTTATTCTGTGGTTTATCCATTGTGGGTGATGTGTCCATGTCCAGCTCTGGTCCTGCTTCTTGTGGTGGGATGAGTGGGTGGATTTTGTCTGGAGGATTTGCACTGCCTCAGTCTCCATGCAGAGCTCGTCTCATCTTTTAGGTCTTCCGTGTTGATCTCAGGAGTGTTTGCCACTGGTATATTTGTTCATGTAAGAAGTGGTTTTAGAAGTTTCCCTTGGAGCCACCTGGGTCCTGATGGTGTTGAGATATAGGCATATCCTCTTCCCCAAGTTATTAAAGGGAAATGGCCAGAAATTTCTTGGGTGTCTGGGTCCTTGATCAGCACCGGTGGTTTTTCAACTAGTTTTGCTTGGATCAAGTTGGAAAAGTGCCAGAGGACAGGGGGAATTGTCTCTGTAAGTGAGCTGTTCAAAAACTTTATTGTATAAAGAGCCTTACAGAGCTTCTCAGTTGGAGAGGTTGTCTCTGTCCCTCCCCGTTGCTGATCGAGGACCCGTTTAAGGGTGGAATGGGCTCTTTGCTCTTTCAGTGATGGCTTGGCTGCTGGGAGAATGAGGTATGTCTGTATTGTGCTTTACTCCCCCACTGATTGAAGAAATCTTTGAGCTTGTGGGAGGTAGGAACCGGACCATTGTCTGTTTTAATCTCTTCAGGGAATCCCAAGGTGGCAAACGAAGGAGAAAGTGCCTGATGGTCTCTTTGGCACTTTTTCCTGCATGGGCCGAGACAAATACTGCCCCTGAGAGTGTGTCAATTGACACATGTAAGTATTTGGATCATCCAAAGGCAGGGTAATGTGTAACATCCATTTGCCAAAACTGGCAGCTGTTCAGGCCTCGGGGGATAACCCCTAAGGCTAAAGATGGAATTTGATAAACTTTGTGATTTGGGCAGGTGGACACCGTTGCCTTGGCTTGATCCCGAGGTAGTCTGAACATTCGCATTAACACAGGAACGTTCTGATGAAAGAAATCATGGCTTAGTTTGGCCTGTGAAAAAATATCTGGCACATTGGTGTAGTGCACAGGCATGGCCAGGGCATCTGCTTTACAGTTCCTTCCACAATGGGTCCTGGGAGGTCAGTGTGTGCCCTCACATGCCTAATGTGAAACGGTTGCTTTCGGTGGGAGAGAAGGTGTATTAATTCTGAAAGCAACTCGTACAAATTTGGCTTTGTCACTTCCCTTAATAACGAATGTTCTGCCCTCATAGCTACTCCAGCAACATAGGCCAAATCAGTGACTAAATTAACAGGTTCTTGGAACCTCTCTGACGTGGTGCCAGAGTCTCACAGCTAGCTTGATCACCCCACAGCACCATGCTGAGAGTGGGACTCACCCCAGAAGCAGGGTGATCTGGGATGCAGCAGGGAGAGGTTTATTTGAGGGAAAATCCAAGGATGAGGAGCCGAAGAGCCCCGATAAAGGGTTTGCAGGAATGTTTAAGTGGGGGAGGTTCAAGGAGAAGGTACAAAGCCTCAACCAATAGGGATATCCTGTGGAGGAGCAAAAGGCTGGGTTTTACAGTGTATCAACCAATGAGGGAGATGAGGGGAGGAGAATGGCTCACATAGTCCAATGGGGTGTTGAGGATTAGGGATTTCCAAAGGGGAGGTCCAAGCCAGGAGTGGTACAAAAAGAGATTGGCAGGGAACTCACTGGAACAAGGGGCTGGTATTAAGGGGGATTGGCATGCATGGGCTGGGCCGAGGGAGGATTGACACAGAACATTGGAGAGCGGTGGGCAGGGTTAGGTGAGACAGACAGCTCAGGGGAAGGTTACAATTTCAGGGAGAAACCGTTAACTCTGGGGAATAAGGGGGATACCGACGAGTCCATGAAACATAGAAATGCTCCACAACACCTCTCAAATGCTCTGACAATAAAGCAAGTTCAACAATTTGAGGGGACCCCTCAAAAATCTGGACATTTGTTACTGTTGAGGTGGTCATGACACGAAACAAAGACCACAAGCAGTCTCAGGTGGCAACTTCTTATTATTGAACGTGGCTGACCTTTTATACACTTTCTGATTGTTTAGGCTTCTTCTGCCCTAACTATTGGCCACAATAAATCAACATAACACCATTGGTGAAAAGTTACAGTGACTTCAACTAACTTTCTAAGAATACTTCATTCAGCTGCCTTATCTTTCTTCAATTCTTCTCATCTCTCCGTCTCCTTGGTTGCAGCCCTGGAGAGAGCTTATCAGCTCCTTCTTGCTTCTCAGCTTCTGCTCGCTCCTTTAGCTAACAGGCCCGCTGTTAGCCCCTTCCACAATTCCCCCTTTTTGTTTTTGAACTGTAAACACAGCTGCTATGGATTTTTGCAGGGCCCTTTGCAAAAATCCAAGCAGACAGGGGAAACAAAAAACATCAATCAAAACCATCAACAAAATTAACATTCCCATTCTTAATACAATCATTCCCATCCTTCATCCATCTATAAGTGCTTTTAAATTTCTTAACTATCTTCTCCTAGAAAACCTTAAACTATAGCCACCCCAAGTGCTCCAAAGGAGATGCAGGAATACTAGAACAAAGGTTCCAAAAACCTGCATTGTCCTGATCAGTGCAAATCAAAACCACAGCCTTTAATTACTATAAAAACATACTAAAACTGATGAAACACGTCCTGATATACGGCCTTAGCCAGTGTTATCTGCGCGTTCTGCTTCAGCTGCGGAACCATCCATCCTGTCCCTGCCTGCACGCTCCAGATAGGGTTTAAAACAGTGAGCAGGAACCCTTCGAGGACCATTATCTGTCAAAACACAAGCATAGCCCCTCCCCCAGGTTATTAGCTCCACTGGACCAGACCACATACCAGTAATTAAATCCTTGACCCATACCTTGACATTTCTACGGAAATCTGTTTGCTTAGAATTCAAAGAGAAAAAATGGTGAAAAAATTGGAGATAATTGTGAGTCAGGTAGGGGATGCAAAAAGTTGAACACAGCTTTATCTAATCTCACTTGAGGTGACTCCTGTTGCATTCCCCTTTTTTTGTTTTTGAACCTGATGTTTAAGAAGACCATGAGCCCCTTCAATGATTGCTTGGCCTGTGGGGACATGTGGAATACCTGTTGAATGCTCAATGCCCCAAGCACAAAAGAGTGCTTGCATTTTCTGCAAAGCACATCGTGGGCTGTTATCTGTTTTTATGTGACACAGAATGCCTAGGATAGAAAAGGCGTGATAAAAATGACGAATGGCATCACGAATTTTCTCTCCTGTAAATGCTGAAGCAATCATTGCATGAGAAAAGGTATCAACTGTAACATGAACATACTTAAAGTGACCAAATTCTGGCATTTTAGTGACATCAGTTTGCCAGTCCTCTAAGGTGGAAAGACCCCTAGGGTTGGTACCATAATATTGACATGAGTCATGTGACAGTCAGGACAAGAAGAAAGAATTGATCTTGCTTCACCAGGAGACAATT